GTGGGGGGTCTTCAATTAGCTTAGCAGTTTCCCTGTTCTGCTTAACTGGTATGTTTCCAGTCACTGCCTGCTGCTGTTGGAGGCTGGGATAATGGGACAGGCTGTCTGGCTGTCTGTCGGAAGAGAGGGTGGAGGAGAGGACCTTTGTGCTCCATTGCAGATGGAGTCACACAAGGAAGGGAGACCACTGTGCATTTCCTGCTACAGAGCTGGGGCTGAGACTATGGGTGGGTGGGTTTTGGATCTCAGGAGCAGTAGGAGAAGTGTGTGTGTCTACCTTCAGCCCACTAGTCACTCTGGGAGGAGTAGTTCTTGGGTTAACCGGAGGTATCTCCTGGGGTTATGGTCTGGGGCAAAGCTTAAAAATACAAACAGTGAGTGCTAGGGCACTATATCCCCACTAGAGCCCAGCTAGCCTACCACAGCAGGCCCACAATGAAGTCAAATTCAAACAATATCTATCTGCAAACCCACCCTTATAGAAAGTACTAGAAGGAAAACTCCAACCTAAAGAGGTTAACTATGCCTATGAAAACAGAGGAAATAAGTAATCTCACACCAATAAAATCAAAAGAAGGGAAACCCACAAACACTCACACACACACAACACATACACACACACACACACCACCACCACCAATAATAATAATAATAATAACAATAATAATAAAATGATAGGGATCAAAAATCATTGGAAACTAATATCTCTCTATCTCAATGGTCTTTATTCCCTAAGAAAAAGACACAGACTAACCAAATGAATGTGAAAATAGGATCCATCCTTCTGCTGCATACAAGAAACACACTTCAACATCAAGGATAAATATTACCTCAGAGCAAAGGGTTGGAAAAAGATATTCTAAGCAAATGGACCTAATAAATAAGCTGGTATAGCCATTTTAATATCTAAATATTATTAGTTTTTATTTGAAGTCTGTTTTGTTAGATACCTCATACTTGTCAAATGAAAAATTCACCAAGATGATCTTTCAAATCTTAACATCTATGCTTCAAATGCAAGGGCACCCACATTTGTAAAGGAAACACTACTAAAGGTTATATCACACATCAATCCTCACACATGGAGAGTGAGAGATTTCAATACCCTACTCTCACAAATGGACAGACCATCCAGACAAAATATTTCCTAATAAGGAAATAATGAAGCTATAGGCATTATAAACCAAATGGACCTAATAGTTGTCTACAGAACATTTCACCCAAGCACCTGTTCTTCTCAGCACCTTATGGAACATTACCCAAAACTGACCACATACTTGGTCACAAAGCAAGCCTCAACAGATACAACAAAACTGAAATAACCCCTTCGTCCTATCAGACCACCACATATTAAAGCTGAGGGTTGAAATCAATAAAAGAGAAACAAAGAAAATAATACAAAGAACCAGAAAAACAAAGAGTTGATTCTTTGAGAAAAATAACCAAGACAGACAAACCCTTATCCAAAATAAAAGACAGAAAGAGAATATCCAAATTAACAAAATCAGAAATGAAAAGGGGGACAGAACAATAGACACAAAGCGTATCTAGAGAAACATGAGGAGATATTTCCCCATTTTTCATTTAAATTAGAAACAAGATTGTTTTTACATGTCAATCCCAGTTCCCTCTCCATCCCCTCCTCCCCTGCCCCCTACTAACACCCTACCTATCCCATACCATTTCTGCTCCCCAGCAAGGGTCCATGGGGGATCTTCAGAGTCTGTCATATCTTTTGGAATAGGGCCTAGGCCCTCCCCGTGAGTCTAGACTGAGAGAATATTCCTCTATGTGGAATGGGCTCCCAAAGTCCATTCCTATGTTAGGGATAAGTACTGATCTACTACAAGAGCCACATAGATTTCATAAAGACATATTTTAAAAACCTGTACTCTACCAAATTGGAAAATCCAAAAGAAAAGAATAATTTTCTCAATAGATACTACATACCAAAGTTAAAGCAAGATGAGATAATCAATTTAAATATAACTATAACCCATAAAGAAACAGAAGCAGTCATTGAAAGTCACCCAACAAAAAAAGCCCAGGGACAGATAGTTTTAGCAAAGAATTCTACTAGACTTTTGAAGAAGAGTTAATGCTAATACTCCTCAAATTATTCCACAAAACTCAATCCAGGTGAATCAAAGACCTCAACATAAACCAGACACACTGAACCTGATAGAAGAGAAAGTGAAAAATAGCCTTGAAAGCATTGTCACAGGAGACAACTTTCTGAATAGAACACCAACAATACAGGCATTAAGATGAACAATTAACAAATGGAACCTCATGAAAATGAAAAGCTTTTGTAAGGCAAAGGATACTGTCAATCAGACAAAGAGACCAGCCATAATGCTTATTATATGTTTTGGCATAGGATACTGTCATTCAGACAACATGGCAGCCTACAGAATGGGAAAAGATTTTTACCAACTCCATCCACATTGACAGAGGGCTAATATTCAAAATATATAAAGAACTCAAGAAACTAGACTTCAACAAACCAAATAATACAATTAAAAATGAGGTAAACAGATCTAAACAGAGAACTCACAGTACAGGAATTTCACACATCTGAGACACACTTAAAGAAATGTTCAACATCCTTAGTCATCAGGGAAATGCAAATAAAATGACTTCAAGATTCCATCTTATACCTGTCAGAATGGCTAAGATCAACAACACAAGTGACAGCTCATATAGACACAAAGAGGATATTGAGCATTGGGAGCACTCTTCTTATACCTGTCAGAATGGCTAAGATCAACAACACAAGTGACAGCTCATATACTGGAGAGGATATTGAGCATTGGGAGCACTCTTCCATTACTGGTGGGAATGCAAATTTGTACAGCTACTTTGAAAATCAATACAACAATTCCTCAAAATGGGAGGGATAGAGGGAGAAATGGCTGGAATTAGGGGGCCTTTAGGGGAAGGTGTGGAACCTTAGTGCAGTAAAAAACATCCTAGAATCTATGAAGGTAAGCCTAATGAGGACTCCTAATAATGGGGATATGGAGTTTAATAGGCCATCTCTTATTTGGAACCTCAAGTGAGGTTTCCAGTGACAGGAATGGATTATGTTCAATTGAGTTGTTGGACAAGGGGTATTCATGGAAAAACCCAAACAACACAGGCTGTTGCTAAGACAAAAGGTGGAGCCCATCACCAAGGACATTGACACAATTCATTGAACATGAAGAAGTCAAGATGATGACGACATGAAGCCTTCACCTATACTTTCTAGCCTCTTTGGTGTGGGAAGGTACTCTGAAGACTACACAAAGGGAAAGATGCAAACCAATCCATCCACAAAATGTTTGGCCTACAATCTGTCCTGCCTACAAAACAAGTTACAGCAATGATAGCACAGAACTTGTGGGAGTAGCCAACCAATATCTGATTGACTTAAGGCCCACTTCATGAGAAGGAACCCATACCAGACACTGCTTGTATAACCAAGAATGTGAGACTTGCAGTCCAAAAACCTAGGGTAAAACAAAACATGACTGGAAAAAAAGTATCAGTAAAATGATTCCTAATGCTATTTTGCTGTACTCATAGATCAGTCATCATCAGAGAGGCAGCAGATGGGAACAGAAACAGATACCCATAGCCAGACACTGTGTGGACAGAGTCCAAATGGAAGGTCCCCATCAAATCCCTTCCCTCAGAGCTCAGGGAATCCCTTGGAAGAAGTGGTGGAAAGAATGTAACAGTCAGAGGGGGTGAAGTACAACAGGAGAACAAGGCCTTCTGAATCAACTAAGCAAGGTGCATATGAGCTCACAAAGTTCGAAGCAGCAAGCACAGGGCCTACAAGGGTCTGCACCATGTCTCCTATGTATATCTTATAGCTATTAGTATTTTTCTGTGTCTCTTGACTGTGCAAACAAATGGATCTCTGATTCTTGTGCCTGTTCTTGAGATGCTTTTCCTTTTGTTGGGTTGCCATGTCTAATTTTGATATGATACTCTTCATTTCATCTTGTATTTTATTTTGTCATGTTTGGTTACATGTCTCTTGGAAGGCTGCTGTTTTCTAATAAGACATCAAAAGAGTGGATCCATAGGAAGGGGAGGTTGGGAGGAACTAGAAGGAATGGAGGGAGGGAAAACTATTTTCTCATATAATATGTTATATGAGAAAAGAATCTTATTTTTTTAAAGAAAGGAAAATGAATAAGTGTCTGAAAACCACTGTCCAATGGTAGGCCACACACCCAAGAATATTTGAGCATCACAAATTGATTTTAAGAGTTTAAAAGCAAAAGCTATGATGCAGCCTCCTGGTTACTCAGAAACTCTAAATCACTACAGATGGGACAAAGTCAGGACTCAGAGGTACATGGACATAAACTACCATTTGATCAAATGCCACAGGTATTAGATGGTTTCATTCACAAGAACTATCAAAATAAAATCCTTGTGCTTTTTATTCTCGTTAGAAATATTTTCTAGACATTTTAATAACCTATTGAGCAATAAATATCTGAAGAAGGTGGAACAAGAGAAAGTTTGACATTTAAGAATCCTAAGGACCGGGGTTTAATTTACCATGTGTTCACAACATCTATAACTCCAGTTCCATGGGATTTGATGGTTCTAATGGCCTCTGTGGATTCCTGTATACACTCAGGCACAGAAAGAAACATAAAAGGTATGTAAACAAATAAATATTTTAGAAGAATTATTGAAAAGGATCATACAAGTCAACTCTCTTCCTCTTCTCCTTATTCCTGACCAAGGCTAAGAGACACAGAAATGTAAATACAAGCAGAAGAAAGAGCAACCATGCCTCTTACCTTGGAAATAAAAGAAAAAGCTGCTGTTCACATGGGACACTACCTATTCACCCATAGTAGACATCAGGAGGAACCAGCCCCTCTTGTTAACAGTTCTTCCCAGCCCTTCTACTCATAGAGTGTAGCTTTACAAAGTACTAAGAACTTAATCCTTGAGAGGAAAAGTAGGTGTTGAAGAGAAATATATACCTCAATCCCTGCAGAGTTTAACCAGCTCTGTCTTCAGTAGCAATCCAGCCACTTCCAGCCTCTGGTACTAAATTCAGGCCCATATTTATCTTGCTTTCACCAGAAGATCTACAGGTTGTGGAGACAATGCTCACCTGAAAGAAAATGCAGCAATTTTATCCTATATGTCCTATAAATAATAAATACCCAGGCTCATGCTGTAATGGAGCCCTAAATAGAAGAAACCTGAGCCAAGAGGCAGCCATAGTTTTATTTATAGCTTTTAAATATTTAGATGTATGGCATGTGGACATCCATTTGTAGCCTTGCCCTGCAAATGTCAAAAGAAAGTGCTCACTGAAGACACCCTTTCATGGATGCACTGTTAAATCCTGATTTTTTTTTTACCACCAATGACTATATACCTGAAACAAGAAGAGCGCAACACCTGTGAGATGCTGATGGCTTTCATGGGCCAATATGAGCCAACTCCATTTAAAGGATGCCCTTTGAAGCTGTCATCTTGCTATTTACATCAATAATTCTTCCCTTTGTTGGCAGACAGATTAGAATTGCTGCCTTTGTCTTTATCGATCCTATGTGAGGACATGTAAATACATACCATCAGCAGAGGAAGTAAATCAACTATCAAGAGCAAAATCTACTTCTACGTTGCCAGGCCACAAATTCCTACTGAAACAAGTTGGACAGCTGTGTCTGCCTGATCAAACCTCTTTTCTTCCTGAGTATAAGTTAGTTTTAGGAGAAATACCAGGGGATATTCATATACAAGCTCAAAAACAAATGCTGACAGTGGGTAGTGGGAGAAAAGGGAAACAAATCAATATGTTTAAAATAAAAACCTGCCTTGAAGCTGCAGATAAGTCTTTGAGTATCAGTGTGGGTCAATGCAACACAATCAAGACAACTTAACTGGTGGAAATTATTCTTCAATAAGGTCATTCCTAGAGTGAGATCCTGCCAGCAGGCTGAACCACCCCAGGCTACAGTTACTTTGATGAGCTCCAAAAGGAGACCAGAGTAGAACCAGATATGAGGTCACTAAAATCCACATCCTGGGATGTAATTGGCAAAAAAAAAAATTTGGAATGTAAGTGGCAAAAAAAAAAAAAACACTAACCCACTTGTAGGAAAAATATGTGAATTTGAGAACATTGTTCAAAATAATTTGCACGAGTTTTGTCCTAATAAAGGGCTTCTAATGATTATTTTAATGAGGCTGCTTTTGCATTAGTTTTCCTGAGTTTGACATCTTTCTGAATGCAAAATAAATGGTTAGTGAATGTGCTGGATTCTGGTATCAGACATAAATAACATGAGCCCCTAGCTTCGGGACTCCCTGGTATATTCAGAGATGAAGCTAAAACGTCCATAAGCAATTAGACTGTAATTATTAGAGAAGTCTGTTTTATTCCAAAATAAGGGCATTGTATTTCATTACTTTACTTCTAGCTATGAGAAAAATACCAAAAAGAGGCAAGTGAGGAAAACAGGGGTTACCTTGGTTCACGGAAGATACAGTCCATCCTAGCTGGGATGGCATGCAAGCAGGAGATTTAGGTAGTTCCTTGTGGTCATAAAGCAGAGAAAGAGAGATACCTGCAGTCATAGTTCCTTTCATTTTTATTCCATTTAGGATCCCAATCCATGGAAGAGTGACACCCACAGTTAAGATAGGGCTTCTCATTTCAGTTAATCTAATTTAGAAATGCCCTCAGATATACCAAGATATTTGTCTCCTAATAGACTCTAGAACATGTCAAGGTTACATTCAACATTAACCACCACATGGGTCTAAATTAGTCTAGATTCTCATCATATGTATTATAATATTGTATTGAACTTGGTATTTTTGTGTTGTAGTGTGATCAACCAGCCCTCCTCTCTCCATCACAAACAAGAGCTTTTACCAGAAAGAGACTGAGAATTAAAACTTTAATCAGAATTAACAAATCAAGTTGATATCACCCCTTCCCCTTAGGTATAAAAGAGACTGTTTAGTAGTAATCAGAAAGGAGAGACAAGAAAAGCCTAATGTGGTTCAGCCCTGTACTAACAGAGGCTATAAATCATAAGATCAAACCCAGCTAACAAAAGAAATACTATTCTTCAATGGGGAATTTGCAAAAATCTGGGTAAATGGGTAAAAAAAAATGCTTATGTATATAAGTTCTGCTTCTTTTTTTGGTGACCTTGTAAGGAAAACTAGCAAGGCCCAGGTATTATCTTTATAGACACCACCTCCTGTTCAAAACACTTCTATGACCACCAGTGTTAATATGCATCCAATTTGTGAACTACAAGAAAATACAAATTTGGAAATTCAAAGGCATTATCCCCTACTCGTTATGTGGCATAAGCACAGTTTTCTAAGGGAGAGGAGCCCATTATCCTGAGAAACATAAAAAGGTGCTACATAAAACAGCAGGTTCCAGAGAAGTGAGCCAATCCAGAAGTAAACACTGGGGAAAGGTTCACCATGCTCACCTAGGCATGGTTCCCTGGGAAGGGATGCCTATGTTATCTGGAATGTCCATCTTTATTTTCCTCTGCACTCTGATGAATCTGAGATGTGCTTGATCCATTAGTATGGAACTTTTACGTGTGCCCTGAGGTTCTAAGTGTTTGCAATGGCAACCTTAGACAGGGCAAGGTGGCCCAATTCTCCACACTGTCATGAGAGCTTGATGGGGCAGTGGTCACATGGTGAATGTGATGGCTATTCTTGATTGTCGATTTGACTATATCTGTACTTAACCAACTTTCCAAGCAGCTGGGCACATCTGTGAAGGATTTTTTTTCTTGATGGGATCATCTGAGGTGAAATCCACCTTAGATCTGAGCCACACCATCTGGTGTCAGTCTACATAAAGGACATGGAAGACAGAAGCATTTGTTCTTTGCCTGCTTGCCCTCACCCCCACTATCAAGTTCATTCCTTCACTGGTATTAGAGCCTAGTTCTTCTGATTCTGGCATATACAAAAGACCACTTGAGAGATTCATCCTTGTGGACCAAGCAACTATTGGATTCTTTAGCTTTCCATCAAGATACAGCCATTGTTAGAACAGTCATACCACAGGCTACATGCCCCTTTAATAAATCCTATAGATAGATAGATAGATAGATAGATAGATAGATAGATAGATAGATAGATAGATGTAGTAACCTAATTTCTGGGGCCTTCTTCTGGTCCTGCTGACTTGTCTGTCCAGTCCATGATTGAAAGGAGGAGTGTGGATTGAGAAATGGTGGGTAGAAAAATAAAGATACCAAAGAAAAACAGAAACATGGGATAGAATTGGGAGGGTATTCAGTGAATACTGAACAGCCCATGTTTATTGTTCAAAGTCTTTTGTACCCCATCAAAAGAGGGGGAGAAGGCAAAAGACTGCTTTATCAAGATACAAAGAACAAACAAGTTTCATTACCTTCTAAATACCCAAACATCAAGTAACTATATTCTAAGTATTCTGTTATTCAGGCAGGACATGCAGTGACCACATCTTAGGCCAAGTATCCTGTTGCATTTACATCTTAGGCCACACATCCTTGTTGTCTCACCTTGAAAGAGCAATAATAGGCTATGTGAAAAGGCTATCCAGGTACCACATACTGAGTTTTATTTTGATGCGTTTGCTACTTGTGGGATTTACAAAGCACAGGCTTCTGCATAGTGAACATCTTTGACTAGTTTGAGGGTGATTCTCTTCCTCAGGTAATAGTTGGACATTAATGGTATTATTTTTTTTATTTTAGAAGCACTCATATCAATCCCCCATTCCCTTGCCCTCCCATGCTCCCCACCAACCCTCCCAACCCATGCCCACCCATTCCTCAAGGATAGTGAGGCACTCCATGGGGAACCATCAAAGTCCATCACATCATTTGGGAGAGGGCCTAGGTCCTCTTTCTTGTATCTGGCCTGCAATAGAACCCCTCCATAGGGAATGGGCTCCCAAAGTCAATTTGTGCTCTAGGGATAAACTCTGGCTCCACTGTTAGAAGTCCCATAGACTGCCCTAGCCTCCTAGCTGGTACCCACATTCAGAGGGCTTGGTTTAGTCCAATGCTGGTTCCCCAGCTTTATGACTAGGGTCTCTGTGCTCTCACTAGGTCAAGTCAACTGTTTCTGCAGGTTCTCCAGCATAGTCTTGGCTCCTTTGCTCATCCCTCTTCCCTCTTTTCAACTGGATTTAAGGAGTATGGCCCAAGTCTTGGCTCCTTTGCTCATCCCTCTTCCCTCTTTTCAACTGGATTTAAAGAGTATGGCCCAGTTTAGCTGTGGGTGCCTGCTTCTGATTCAATCAGCTACTGGATGAAAGCTCTAGGAATGGCAACCAAGGTAGTCATCAATCTCATTATAGGGGAAGGGCATCAAAGTCAGCCTCTCCACCACTGTCTAGATTCTTAGTTGGGGTCATTCCTGTGGATCTTCTAACTTTTCCCCTGTACCAGACATCTCTCCAAACCTATACTGGCTCCCTCTATCAAGGTATCTCCTTTCTTGTCCACCTCTATTCCTCCCCTGTCGCAATCCTCCTGTTCTCTCCTGTTCTCCTCCCCCCTCCTCGTCTCCCCCCAAGCTCCCAGTTTCCTCAGGGTTTCTTGTCTCCCTCCCCTTCTTCAGGGGGCCCATGAGTTCTTCTCCTGGTGTCCTCTTTTCTTCCTAGCTTCTGTGGCAATGTGGATTGTAGACTGGTAGCCCTTTGCTCTATGTCTAATATCCATATATGAGTGAGTACACACAGTGCTTGTCTTTCTGTGATTGGGCTATCTCACTCAGGATGTTTTCTTCCTGTTCCATCCATTTGCCTTCAAATTTCAAGGTTTCATTGTTTTCTTCTGCTGAGTAATACTCCACTTTGAAAATGTACCACATTTTCTCCATCCATTCTTCAGTTGAGGAGCATCTAGATTGCTTCCAGGTTCTGCTGCAATGAACATAGTTGAACATATGTCCTTGATGTATGAATGTGCTTTTTGGGGTATATGCCCAAGAGAGGAATTGCTGGATCTTGAGGTAGACTGATTCCCACTGAGAAACCACCATGCTGATTTCCATAATGGTCATACAAGTCTGCACTCCCATCAGCAATGGGGGAGTGTCCCTCTTTCTCCACATCCTCTCCAGCATAGACTGTCATTGGTGTTTTTGATTTTAACCATTTTGGCCAATGTAAGATGGTATCTCAGAGTTGTTTTGAGTTTCATTTCCCTGATGGCTAAGGATGTTGAGCACCTTTCTAAGTGTCTTTCAGCCACTTTAGATTCCTCTATTGAGAATTCTCTATTTAGTTCTGTACCCCACTTTTTTTCATTTTTATTTGAATTAGAAACAAGATTGTTTTACATGTCAATCCCAGTTTCCTCTCCCTCTCCTCCTCCCCTACCACCCCTTCACAACTAAAACCCTACCTATCCCATACACTTTCTGCTCCCCAGAGGGGGTGAGGCCTTCCATGGGGAGTCTTCAGAGTCTGTCATAACCTTTGGGATAGAGCCTAGGCCCACCCCCATGTGTCTTGGTTCACGGAGTATCTCTCTATGTGGGACGGGCTCCCAAAGTCCACACCTATGCTAGGGATAATGTACCCCACTTTTTAATTGGATTGTTTGGTGTTTTGGTGACTAGCTTCTTGAGCTCATTGTATATTTTGGAAATCAGCCCTCTGTCAGATGTGGGGTTGGTGAATATCTTATCCCATTCTGTTCTCTTCCCCCTCCTCTTCTCCCCCTTGCCCCACGTCGTTGTTGACTGTGTCCTGCCTTACAGAAGCTTTTCAGTTTCAGAAGGTCCCATTTATTAACTGTCAATCTCAGTGTCTGTGATACTAGTGTTATGTTCAGAAAGCGGTCTCCTATGCCAATTCTTTCAAGGGTACCTCCCACATTCATGGTATTATTAACTTCAATCTTCTTCCTGGGGATGACACCATTGTCCAAACCATGGAAGCATCTCTGCAGTAATGTACAGTTGAAACCCAAATTGTGTGAACCCCCCCATTACACACACTACACATATACACACACACGTCTATGCAAATTCCAACTTCTGTAAACAACTCTCTTAAATCAAAATATATTAATTAGTTTTTCTCCTAATTTAATCAAGGTTTGCATTATTTAAAGAGGTTAAAAGGTGACTGCTCTGTTGATCATTGACAGCCAATTGCAATATTCCTTCTAGTGCCACCACCCTGTCATTTGGATCATCCTAATTACAAATAGAGATCGGAAGCTCTGTGTGACTAGAAAGATAAAATTGCAACAGAAACATGAAGCTTGAATAAAAGATCCATTAGAAAAATGTGCCCTCAATTTGATGATAAATGCCTCACTCATCACTTTTATTGCCAGATTCAAATGATTAACAGATGGTTTTGGTAATTAATTTGCATTCAACACTTAAGTATCAAGCAGTTAACATGCATCCAGTGCATTCTCTGGTACTTTCTCAATCAAATAAATGTGGGTTTAAATAATCTACACTGTTTTCCTCCCAAAGACCTACTTTAAATTAATCTTTCTTTTCATTATGCATTTCTACTTCTCCTTCTTCATCTCTTTTTTCTTCACTTTTGAAATAATATTTTAAATAGTCAAAATCTTTTTGGCCTCTCTTCCAGCATAGAGAAGTGAAGAGTGAATGAATATAGCATGGTGATTTAGATACCAAAGCCATTGTACATGCATGCACAGTAGTATTCCTTGAATGTAGATAGTAAGATTCAGTCAAGTTAAAACAGAGGAACTAAATCACTATGGAATGCACATAAATTTTATATCAAAATAGCAATGGTCTGAAATTCTACCCAAGCAATGGTTATGTGGCATTAAGGACCCTCATTAAATTCCTGAAACTTAGCACTGCATTGAAAAGATATAGTCAATTAATACATGTATATTAGGTTATTTTAAGGAGTAAAGATGGCAAAGAATACAAATTATACAGGACAACAACATTTCCATTCAAATTTCAATTTATATTTCAACCCAACTGATGCAAATTTAAAGTTATTTTGTTCTGCTGAATATGTTCCTACTCTTGGTTGGAGTATTGTGCTTATGAAGCTCATTTAAAAATGTAATATATAATTAAGAAATTCAGGTTAGTAGCTAGTCATCTATAGCAATCAAATGTATAGTCTGTTGACAGCCTTCAGCTATCAAGACATGCCTTGGCTAGTTAGTCCCACACTTTACAACCCTTGTCCAAACAACTACAGTCACTCTACAGGAGACAGATTTATTCAATGACCTCCTGTGGAGCCACTAAGTTTTAGCAGTTGTTGCACAGGTACCATATGCAAAATGATTTACTACATGTAATCTCCTACTTTAAATGATCTCTAGATTACAAATCATACCTAACACAATATAACACTATGTAAGCAGTTGTGTTATTTAAGGAATGATGACAATAAAAAGTCAGTTTGAATATAGTTCTTAAAATATTTTTAACCTGCAGTACTCTGAACCCACAACTTAGATACAAAGACCAGATATAGCCATCTGTGTGTGTCCAATGTCTGTTTAGCATGAAGATAAAGGCCCAGCATCCTTCATCCCAAGGCAGACAATTCAGAAGGCCATCTTAACTTCAGACCTCCCATAGGGCCTGCAGAGACCTTCACTAACTGTGCTCCATAGTCAAAGTTCTCTTTCTGTTATCTCATTTCTTTTTATCCCCTTCCATAAATGATCCAAAGGGCAACCTTTAATGACTTAGCCTGCTGGCATCTAGTATAGCAGATGGGAAGATTCTCTAATGACAATCTCACCAACCAAAGAGAAAAGCCTAAAGACAGTAATGGGAAGGACTCCTTGATGAAAGTTTAAGTACACATCTAATAAAGCTCACAGGAAGTCCTACCCAAATGCAAAGAGTTTGCAATTAGAGGTTGTTTTTAATCGTTGACTCTTACATATTAATGATCAACAACAATCACCAAACACATGAGACAGAAAAATAAAAAATAAACACTAAGGTTTACAAAAAGCAACAAATTAATATGGAAATTATCCATACCTAAAGACAAAACTAGAACAAAAAGCTATAAGTATATGTGAAAAGATAAAGTAAGGCACTGTATGCACTAAAAAAGATATTAAAAATAAAGGGAGCAGGTGTGGTGATGCATGCCTTTAATCCCCAACACTTGAGATGCCAGCCTGCCCTATATAGCAAGTTCTTGAACATCTGAGACTACACAGAAAAACCCTATCTCAAAAAAAAAAAAAAAAAAAAAAAAACGAAGGAAAAGATGACGATAATAATGACAATTAAGTTTGCTAAAAAATATACATGTAATAAAAATAAAAATAAAGGGAAGGCTGGAACAATGGCTCAGTGGGCAAAAGTACTAACTTCTTTTTTAGAGGACCCAGGTTCGATCAACAGGACCCAGATGGCAGCTCACAACTGTAACTCCAGTCCAAGGGATCATGCCTTCTTCTAGATTCTGCAGATACTACACGTAACATGGTCCACATATATACAGGGGAAACATCCGTACACACTAAATAATAAAATATTTTTTAAATAAAGTGAAATGGAATGATGAAACATTATAACAATTAGAAATTTTGAAAGATAGTGACAACAATAAAATCAGCACAGAATTAGAACAGAAAATTGAGGGTTTGTGTCAAAAGACAAGAAAGAGAGTATCAAAAATCAAAAGAATTTCTGATTTTGTATAAACAAAATATTAGGAGTTCTGGAGTGTGAGAACAATATGCACGAAG